ATACAGTACTGGCCCAATAAAGCAAGTGACCTTTCTGTTAACTGGCCAGAAACTCAGTCTCTATCAGCCCATCCTTACAGTTTAACCCTAGTTTGACACCCATTTATTCATTCAGCATTTGTTCTCGGTGACTCTGTGCAAACATTTAGTATGCTATGTAGTGCACACAAAAAAGGCAGATTTAAGGTGTACACAGACTAGTGCAGTGAACTGCATATACATGCAACATGCAATGCATGTATTAATTTAGCAGATGCTGTTATCCAAAGCCATTTACAAATAAATAATGCTACAGCATAAGTGATTTACAAGTTGTTTAACATTTTATGAAGTAGGAAATATCAGACGCTGGGAGTTGTTTACATACAGCTCTCGTCTGCATGCTGCACCAGGGCAAATTGATTATTCATACGTTCAAACAAACCGACATCACACCCATTTCTGATTCTTTAATGCTAATATGCCATGATGCGGGACAGTTCTATATGTCAGAGACAGGTCAGATGAGTCGTCCTGCTGCGGACAGGGATTACAGTACACGCATTCATTCATTTCTGCAGGATTATGTTCTGATGGAGAGCGCTAACCCAGACCACCCCCCCCTTTCCCACTGGGCCCATCCTGCACAGATGGCTAGTGGGATTTTACTTCTCTAATCTCTTTTCTTTCATTCTCTCTCTTGGTCTTCTCTTTTCATTTCTGAAACCCACAGTAAATGAATATGCTGAGCTGGACAAATCGGCACTGAAACGACTTTTGGGTTTGAGCGTCTTTTGCCCTTCATTCTCATTCATTGTTTCCTCTCTTTTTCCTACTCCATGTTGATTTTCCTCCAAATTTCCTAAGAGACTGATTAAATTTCTACAGATTATTGCACACCAACTGCGAACAAGTCATTTTTATGCTGTACCAGCCACCTTTATTTTCTTGTACAGTCATGTCAAGACTAAATAAACCTGTAATATGAATACAACTTTACTCAACATCAACAAGTTATAAATAAAACAAACATTACTGAAGTACAAGAAAATACTATTTCAGTCTTTCTATTTCAAAATTTCCAATGTCCAATTTGTGGAATTTACTAGCAATTTGATTGAAAATAGTTTCAAGCGAGCCCTTTTTTTTTTTTTCAGTGCAAACATTCAAAAATACATGTAAATTTTAATATTTCTTCAGTAACTATTAATAGAGTTCTAAATCAAAAAGTATCAATCCTTACAGATACCATGAGTGTTAGGCCGATTCATAAACCAATATTTGGTCACTTTGAGATTATTGAATTGAACTGAATATTTTTTGAGTAGCATTCTTTTAATTTCATCATTTTCTGAGCACCTCATTTGCAATTATTCAATTATTAGATATGTATATATCTGCAACGTGTTAGCTACTGGAATAAACATAAATGCATATATTTTACATATACAAATCAATACATCATACATTAAATTATTTGATCAATACCATGGTACTGAATCATTTCTACATGCATTTACGTATGCAACATGCTACTCCTAATAATATCATAGTTTTACAATCATATGTGTTCAGAAAAGTAAAAATTAGTCAATTCAAATGGTATTTTGAACATTTTAGCCTTAAATGTGCCATCTATTTATCAAGCTATAGTTAGCTAGGTTCAAAAAGTAAACAACACTGATGACATCACCACAGTATCTGCATACTGAATTGTGATTGGCCTTGTCCTTGCATATATTTAACCATATAGCCACCTTTACACTAAAAATGAAAGTATACTGATTCTCTTTCATTAAAACTAAAACAATCACATGCTGATTGTCAAGCCAGTGGCAAAGTGGCTGCATTTGATTACACAGAACCTAGTATTCACTAGTATTCCCTTCAGAAAATGCAAATCTAGTTCAACTGTAGTTTTTTAGCACTAACAGTCACCTGCGACCATACAGAAACACTGTGGCCTAGAATGAAGTAGCTCAACTAAACAGCCTGCACTAGAGTAAAGCGTACCATGAAGCCTCCTTTCAGCGTAATGCTTCTGATCCATGACCAGGAGCAGCTTATCCCAGACTACAGGATGATCACTCTAAACGCTCGGTGCTAAGAGCTCTCTTTCTAAAAGAACTTCCAAAGCCACAAAATCAATATCAAATAATACCTCAGATACAATAAAACACAAACAACTATACACAAACACATGGACACACCTGACCTGGAAAACTCTCATATGGCTTGACCCGGACACCCATCGCCATGGCTACGTAATCCCTTCTTACTAGAAAGGAAGGTCTTCTGCCAGGGTTGTCCCTGCATGTCCATATATAGACACAATTAGTCTTGGGGGTATTTAGAATGACCATATATGGTCAAGGAACAAGGAAGCAGGCTCTTTTCAGATCAGTTCATTGAAATGTATTAGACCGTAAGAAAGAATGATGGTGTATGTGCATGCTTTCTAAAAGAGATGGCACAATAATAATAATTATAATAATAAAAAAAAAATCAGAGCAGTCGTCGCTACCAAAAACAGGTCACCTAGCAACACACAATTAAGGAATACCTCTTCAGCCTGTCCATTAGCAGACGAAATTACTGGCTAAACAAACAACCATCACCCACATGCAAATGACTTTGTTGTTCATAAGAGAAGCGCTCATATTCTTGCCCGCTGGGGTTTTCACAGATGTTTAGGACATGAGCAATGTACTCTGACTCTATCCAACCTGAAACATCTGGAGTCAGAGATGACTGGGGCACTGGAGAAATGGTTTCATTATATGGAACGAAAGCCAGCTAAACCCATTAACTCAAGTGAGACGGCAGGGAAGGTGTAACAGAAGCAAAGGGAGGAAAACAGATACAAAGGGAAATGGAAGCCTTTGAAAGAGAAACGAAACGAGAGGATGCATGAGGAAGCCGTGGATTAGAGTCAGTCGTAAAAGATTACGATGCTATCTGTACTCTTTTCGAGGGATGGGTAGGTCAACCAGTACTTAAACCATTGACTAGTCTACAGTTGCACTACAATACAACATATCAAACAACTACATTTTTCAATCCTTCAAATATCTAAATGCACTGCATAGTCGAGAGAATAACAGCATAAATGTGTCAATATATATCAATTACATGGTGGAAATGTTTTGAATAATTTATTTTTAACTTAAGAATTTCATAATGTACAACTGTTTTTGCACTGATGTCAGACTTATTTGTTATAAATAACCTTATCTTGAGTAGTTAAGTAGTTAATCCACTAGATTATCCAAAAATAGTCTTTTCTACACTTATCTAACATATAAATCATTCTTCCTTGGATTTCCAGCACTAATAACTATTTTGGGATACATGCTGTTACCATGAAATATAATAACTCATATTGTGATTTTGGTGCCCAACCCTACTGAAGCCGCTCGCTCACCAGGCACTGAACCAGCCAGCCTTTAATAATGTTTATCACCGCTCATTTCTCTCCCACCCCAGAGGCTCTCCAATCATATCCATACACTCTGATTACTATCACCACAATGTGATTAGCCTGACTACGGTGATGTGTTGTTTAATTTCCTGCCGGGGTCTGACACTGCATCTCCATTTCGGCTCAGAGTAAAACTCCCCGTGCTGCCTCCCCTCCCCCTCAGTGCAGTCATTGGTCATCGTTCTGAAACAGCCAATGTGGGTTGGAAACTGTCTCTTACACCAGCTGCACCAGGTGGGATTGAAGAACAGAGAAATATGACCCTTTACAGTCTTTAGCACGATCTGCAAAACATGCATCAGCATCAGTCCTGCAAAAACATTTGAATGAATCCCACAAAAACAGTCACATTTCACACCAAAATCAAAAGAAAAATATTTATATTTTGCATAAAAGAGAATAAAGCAATGTTTGCATTGTGACATTTCAGGCTAATAGAAATGTTTTCGCATTATAATAATGAAAAGGATATTTTTTGCATTATAATAATGAAAATTGTTTTTCTTAAATGTCACGTAAGTAATGTCACTGTTAACTATAAATTGAAAAACTAGGCTACATGCTCAGTTGATTCTCACAATGGAAATTTCCTACTGAAGTTTGTGCTTGGCAAAAAACTAAACTGTCGTTCTCTCCCTGTGCTGGTCCATTCCATCATTCTGATCTTGCTTGTGTATGGCTCAAAGGTGACAATTCACTTCAGACATGTATCAAAGGGCTCTACCGCTAACTGACAAGCTACACTTCACTCACAGTATCTTAGTCAAACAGATCAGCTGCGACGGGCAGATAGTGACAGAGGTTTAAACTAGCAAAGACAAACCATGAAAATAAAAATAAAACATGTCAGTCCAAATCCATTTAGATACGCCTACTACAGAACATGCATAAAAGCAATGTAATACAGAATAAATACCAAGCCAAAATAAAACACAATCTAAGTCACTGACACCCCTGAAGCTGATAATGACTAATACTGCAAAAATGTGACTGACTAATAATATAACAGGCCACTGAACCACAAGGCAACATAATGAAAACATGCTTGCGCATTTTAGCACAATTTACCATACTTTTTAACGGAGCTTGTGCTAGACTATAGAAATTCAATATTTAGTGGTATGTAATTATGCAATGACAAGGTATAAAAAGATGATGAATTATGACACACTAAATGAATTCATCTTTGCTAAGCCTTCATGTACAAAAGAAAGCTGAATTTGATCTATCACAAAACAAACTAGTTCCATAAGCTTTGATAATATTTAATAAAATAAGCTGAGCCTTGGTACGAAAACATCTAGAAACATCATTAGCAACTCAATTCATTACAATTTCAACAACAAAACAAAGGTTTCTTTGTGTAGCATTTCTTAAAAGTGAAGTTCAAGGGGAGAAATTTAACTTGAATTAATTAACCTACAACCGTTCACACACGCTCACTCTGACACAGACAGTTAGGAGCTGAAGCACTGGAGGGGGTGGAGGAGAGGAAAAAAGGAGAACATGAAGGCGGCAATGGAAGAGGGCTTTCATTTACTTGTGTCTGGCGATGCCATAGTGGAGACAATGACCGGAGGTCCAGTACGCCGGCTGAGCTTCTGATTAGACAGACTCACATTTTGGCCTGGGAAGGCACCACCAACGGGTACTAGGGCTCTGTCTGAGGACACTCCAGCCTTGCGCATTACTTGTGGGTTTACATGGGGACTAGGCATGGGTGACATTGTAGCCAAGCTCCGATCCCTTTTCATCAACTCCATTGGTACAGTATAGTTGGTGGTGTATGCCTTTGGAGCCTGCTGCGGCGCCAAAGCAGGCACAGTCATTGGTTGGGGAACTGCTGGCAATGGCTGTGGCATTGCATGGATTGTGGCTGGCAAAGCTGCCATTTGTGGTGGCATTCCTGGTAGATGTGATGGAATCTGTTGGGACATTGCAGTCATAGGTGGCATGGGCAAGCCAGCATGAGGATTGTAGCCTGATAAAGCGCGAGGCTGGACTGGAACCACAGCACCACTGTATGCTCCTGCAGACCTGGCTCCAGGATACCCACTGGTCTCAAGAAGATGCTGGGAGGGAGCACTGCTGGGTCTGCGACTATAACCTTCACCCATCCTTGGAGATATAGTCTGCATGGGGGTAGAGGGTGGCTGCATATACTGGGACTCCATGCCCGGAGTCAAGGGTGGCGGCTGATGCACGTAAATGTCACTGCGATGGCTAAAGCTGTTGGATCTGCCGCGGACCGGAGCATTGGGATGCAGGGGGGTAGCAGGAAGGATTTCAGGTGGTCGCTTGCAACCAAGCACAACACGCGACAGAACCCGAGCTTGTCCCAAGTTTGGAGCCACTGAACGCACATCATTTTCCTCCATAACAGCCAGCATTGCAGTGGAGTCAAAGCCCTGCTGCAGTAGAGAGGTGATGGTGCTTTCTGAGAGGCCCTCTTTTTGCAGCAATGCCAGAAACTCAGGGTCCGCATTTTTTTTAGGGTCTACAGGAGCCACTGGGATCTGAGGAACAGTGGGAGGAGGAGGAGCAGTAAAAGGCTGAGCAGGAATTTGAGGTAACGGAGCAGGAATAGTGGCCACACTTGGAGTGTTTACTGGGGCAGCAGCTATAGGGGGAGCTGGAGTATAGAGAGGATTTGGGGGTGCCACGGGTTGCACATGTGGAACTTGCTGCACTGGCTGAACCTGTGGTACCCGCTGAACTTGCTGCACTGGCTGAATGGGCTGCATTTGCTGAACTTGCGGCATTTGTTGCACTGGCTGAACTTGCTGCAATTGTTGCACTGGCTGAACCTGCTGCATTTGCTGTTGCTGTATTTGTTGTTGCATTTGTTGCTGTGCTTGTTGTTGAGCCTGCTGTTGGGCTTGCTGTTGCTGTTGTATGGTGTATGGTGAGGGGTTTTCCAGATGCATGACCATACCTCGGGCAGTTCCATCCATTCCTTGAGCAACTGGTTCAACTACCAGGCAGGTGGCGGTTGGCTGATGAGGATCAATCGGCCTTCCGTTAACATCACTGTAGACTGAATGGTTGTTTAGAGAGGCAGGTGGCTCAGCACCATAACGGGAGAATTTGGCTCCATTATATAATGAGCTGGAGATGGTGCACGGCTTGGAATGCGCTACCCATCCTGCATCATTTTGGTGCCAGGAGTAGCATGTGGGGGTCCAGGCAGGGATGGTTCTCTGTAAATACGACCCATGTCATGAGCAGTTGGAGGTGGGGGAGGAGGTATGCCAGGTGTTGGGGCAGCAGAACCAGGCCGACCTCCTGAGCTCTGTTCCCAGAATTGCCGAGGACCAGCCATCATTCCATAATGTGAAGATGACCTATTAATAGAATGAGGTTGCGCTCCACGATAAAAACCCTCAGATGGCCGTGGTGACATGCCTGAGTCTTGCTGATAGTAGTCGTGGGGTGGCAGGGAACCACGGTGAGCCATGGGTGGCCGGTCGTAATGGCTGTTCAACTCAGGAACGGAGCTCTTTCTTATGTTACGGGGGTCCGGATGATCCAAATATCCCTGATTGTAAAGAGATTCCTGGTAGGAGTCTTGCTCCCGTTTCAAATCCAGGTCAGGGGGACCCATCCGGGCCTGCTGCTCGTAAACACTGTCACTGCGCTCCCAACGACCCTCATTCCCACCCAGCGTTTCCCAGCTCTGGGAGCGGCCGATTGGCAACTGCTTACTGGAGATCAACATGAGGAAGAGATATACCTTACTCACAGGGAAGAAAAATGAGAAAGGTTTTCCTTTAAGTTTCTAGTTGCAGGATGTTGTCAAGTGGTGTGAGGAAGGAAGGTGAAAGAAAAAAATTAAAACAGAAGTATTGCTTTTCACCTGAGGTCCAGTTGTAATTTCTGTCTCCCGTCTCTATCACAGTGGCAAGGACTGGCTCAAATGGCTCCTCTTGCTTGGCGATCGGTGAATAATTAATCTGGGGAATACTGCTGGTGGTGATGGAAGCAGGAAAGAGGACACCAAGCACTCTCACAAATAACGTTGGTAGTCAAAGCCTGCCTGACTACTCCATTCTGGCAATGCAAAGCGACAAGCGTGAACAGACAGAGGGAAAGAATAAGAGAGAAAACAGAGAGACAGGAAGGAAATTTTTTACAAGGGGAGGGTTGGTGTGGAGGAGGCAGGGGCTTGTGATAATCCAGCGAAGCTGATCCGCTCCAACTCCGAACATTTTACTCGTTCAGATTGCTATGAGGGATTACAGACCAAATAAAGCCAGCTTAAATCCACTCTCCACCCTTGTGACGTCACATGCAAATGCACACAAAATGTGTCCCTGATGATAATGAATATAATGAAATCCCTTTGGACAGGAACACATGCTGTCATGGACACGCTTACCTGATGCCAATGGTTGAGGTGATCTGTGCTTCTTTCAAAAGCCTGGCCAGCCGGCATTAAGCAGGCGGTCTTTGCTGGACTCCAAGAGATGGGCCAGTGGGGCGGGCCAGTGAAACTAATACAGATCTAATGCAGCAGGGCAGAATCGTGTAGCACTGTCAGGAAACGTCAAATCCTGATTGAACAATAATCCTATGATGGGCCAGCAATGCCTGCAGAGCTACGCAAATGCGGAGATCCAGCATCACCACTCATCTATTGCGTTATGACCCCAGCCGACACCAGTGCAGCTATATGAACCACTGCCTCCAAACACCCTTCACAGCACACCAACAATGAGGTCACAAAGCTTCTGGAAGCTTATGGATTACAGCTTCATTACAAAACCAATTAGATCTGAAGCAAATTGCGATACCACTTGTAGTGAAATTACATAAGGTCACTGTAATTTCTTAGAAGCATCAGAACAACATAAAAATTCTTTGTTACACTTCTGTCAACATTTACTAACATCGTTCCAAACCTGACTTTTTTTCTGTGAAACACAAGAGAAGATATATTTTTTAAATGCCTTAGTGGATTTTTGTCCATACAATTAAAGTCAATGTTGTCCAATGTTATTTGGACCCCAGCGTTCTTTAAGAAAGAAATGCATACAGGTTTGGAATTTTCATTTCATTTTCATTCCCCACTGAGAAAGCATGGCTATGTTATTAAGATAAGCATTATAAAACCCACAGGGGGTGAAAGGCGAAATCTGGGACATCAAATAATACTACAATAGGCTTGCAAATATGCGTTTCATGAAAAACATTCCAGCAATATGAATGTTAACAGTTGGATCTTGAGTTTTCGGTTTAAGAAAAGCTTTTTGTTGTGAAAAGATTTTGTCCACCTGCCACTGAAACACTCCACCCAAATCCTTTCTGATCCCCACAAACACCAGAGAGAGAGAGAGAGAGAGAGGGATTGAGAGGGAGGGGAGAGAAAGAGACTTGTGAGGATAAAATTAATAGGGCATATTCTTTGACTATCCACTGTCATTGTGATACATTCTGCATTTTGATACCATCTAAAGCTTTGCACAGTTTAAAGTGACTTTCCAGCACTTTGCTTTGTTTTGATCCTTTCACTTTTATGAAACACTGTTTGAAGCCTGAATTTCATTTTGGCTTTAAGCCTGTTGTTCAGAATCAGTAACACCTGAATACATTAGCATTCCCAGATTCCAAGTGACCCCCCAATATAGTTTCCTTGTCATAAGTGACCTAATTGTACTCTCTTCACATGCATGTCACACAAAAAGCACTCGACACTGGAGATTCAAACCTAAGAACTAATGCTAGTAGAGTTAACTTGTTGCTGAGCCAGTGACACACAAAAACACATTATTTTAGAATGCACTATTTTTGTCAACTATTTTCAGCAACAGATAAAATAATTATTTTTTTTATAATCAGCAATTCTCTCACCTCATAAGCGCATTGCATGCTGGGATTGACTTCTCTGTGTATGCTACATGCCAAGCTCCCTTATAATTATGCTGCCTACTTTTTGGAGCGTGGCACTGATGCCTTACTAGTTCACTATAGGTTTTGGCACAGAGCAAGAGAGAGTATGCAACACAGCCAAGTGAAATCAAATCTCTCTGGAAGAGTCTTTTCTTTCTTTTTGTGACTTTCGCTTACAAACGCAGTGAGGATTATATTGGATTCTTTTACAACTGCTACACAATTACCAAAAAGAAAAACAACATGGATCAATACAGTTGCATCACAATGGAAAAATCAAGGAGAGCAGTATCATGGAAACACTGTCTTTAGTCATCCTTCTGCAGAACTTTAAGGAACAAAAGAGAGAAAGAAAGAGAGACAGAAACAAAGGAAAAGAGAGAGAATTTTCATAAATCCTTTGTGCCCGAGAGACTGCGACTAATCTAATACAAAACCCCGTGGGACGTTCGGCTTCAACAAGCTTCTCGGCCTATCTGGGAATACATGTGTAAGCAATTTTATACATGACTACTAATACGAGAGCTCTTTGAGGGAAGCAAATTCATAAAAAAAGGATATGAAGCGATTAAAAGCAGAATGCGGTGAAATGAAACATTACTTCAACTAATTTACTCACTTTCTTGTTCAGCTGGGAGTGCCTAATGCTGTACATACTGTGTGTGTTTTTATATATTAAAGTTGCTTATAAACTGCCAATTTATGAAAAAAGCTACGCAAATGCGGAGATCCAGCATCACCACTCATCTATTGCGTTATGACCCCAGCCGACACCAGTGCAGCTATATGAACCACTGCCTCCAAACACCCTTCACAGCACACCAACAATGAGGTCACAAAGCTTCTGGAAGCTTATGGATTACAGCTTCATTACAAAACCAATTAGATCTGAAGCAAATTGCGATACCACTTGTAGTGAAATTACATAAGGTCACTGTAATTTCTTAGAAGCATCAGAACAACATAAAAATTCTTTGTTACACTTCTGTCAACATTTACTAACATCGTTCCAAACCTGACTTTTTTTCTGTGAAACACAAGAGAAGATATATTTTTTAAATGCCTTAGTGGATTTTTGTCCATACAATTAAAGTCAATGTTGTCCAATGTTATTTGGACCCCAGCGTTCTTTAAGAAAGAAATGCATACAGGTTTGGAATTTTCATTTCATTTTCATTCCCCACTGAGAAAGCATGGCTATGTTATTAAGATAAGCATTATAAAACCCACAGGGGGTGAAAGGCGAAATCTGGGACATCAAATAATACTACAATAGGCTTGCAAATATGCGTTTCATGAAAAACATTCCAGCAATATGAATGTTAACAGTTGGATCTTGAGTTTTCGGTTTAAGAAAAGCTTTTTGTTGTGAAAAGATTTTGTCCACCTGCCACTGAAACACTCCACCCAAATCCTTTCTGATCCCCACAAACACCAGAGAGAGAGAGAGAGAGAGAGGGATTGAGAGGGAGGGGAGAGAAAGAGACTTGTGAGGATAAAATTAATAGGGCATATTCTTTGACTATCCACTGTCATTGTGATACATTCTGCATTTTGATACCATCTAAAGCTTTGCACAGTTTAAAGTGACTTTCCAGCACTTTGCTTTGTTTTGATCCTTTCACTTTTATGAAACACTGTTTGAAGCCTGAATTTCATTTTGGCTTTAAGCCTGTTGTTCAGAATCAGTAACACCTGAATACATTAGCATTCCCAGATTCCAAGTGACCCCCCAATATAGTTTCCTTGTCATAAGTGACCTAATTGTACTCTCTTCACATGCATGTCACACAAAAAGCACTCGACACTGGAGATTCAAACCTAAGAACTAATGCTAGTAGAGTTAACTTGTTGCTGAGCCAGTGACACACAAAAACACATTATTTTAGAATGCACTATTTTTGTCAACTATTTTCAGCAACAGATAAAATAATTATTTTTTTTATAATCAGCAATTCTCTCACCTCATAAGCGCATTGCATGCTGGGATTGACTTCTCTGTGTATGCTACATGCCAAGCTCCCTTATAATTATGCTGCCTACTTTTTGGAGCGTGGCACTGATGCCTTACTAGTTCACTATAGGTTTTGGCACAGAGCAAGAGAGAGTATGCAACACAGCCAAGTGAAATCAAATCTCTCTGGAAGAGTCTTTTCTTTCTTTTTGTGACTTTCGCTTACAAACGCAGTGAGGATTATATTGGATTCTTTTACAACTGCTACACAATTACCAAAAAGAAAAACAACATGGATCAATACAGTTGCATCACAATGGAAAAATCAAGGAGAGCAGTATCATGGAAACACTGTCTTTAGTCATCCTTCTGCAGAACTTTAAGGAACAAAAGAGAGAAAGAAAGAGAGACAGAAACAAAGGAAAAGAGAGAGAATTTTCATAAATCCTTTGTGCCCGAGAGACTGCGACTAATCTAATACAAAACCCCGTGGGACGTTCGGCTTCAACAAGCTTCTCGGCCTATCTGGGAATACATGTGTAAGCAATTTTATACATGACTACTAATACGAGAGCTCTTTGAGGGAAGCAAATTCATAAAAAAAGGATATGAAGCGATTAAAAGCAGAATGCGGTGAAATGAAACATTACTTCAACTAATTTACTCACTTTCTTGTTCAGCTGGGAGTGCCTAATGCTGTACATACTGTGTGTGTTTTTATATATTAAAGTTGCTTATAAACTGCCAATTTATGAAAAATT